CACCAAAAATGAGAATTCACTTAGCTTATTAAAAGGAACCCTCTGCAATTTAGTAAGACAGAGAAATTGAGAACGAATGATTATGGAACTTAATAAATATTAGAGACTGCATACACTACCAGCTATATCTTCAGCCTGATCAGTCTTAACAATGTGAACTCCACCCTTGAGACCGCTTTTAAATGTTCCCAAACCTCGTCCACCAGCCAAGATTTGACTTTTAACCACCAACTGCACCATAATTCAAGTTTCATGGCTTGTTATCGTTCACAAATTTCAACACCAAGACATTTTTTCCTAGTGTAGGAGGAGAAAAGGGAATCAAAGTTTCAATAAACACATTGCACAATGCAAATTCGAAAATCATCCTTTCTGCAGCGCATAAAATTCTGTTGGCATGGTTAATCTGATGGGCAGCATTGTATATCAGTTACCTCATTCTCATTAGGAAATACGTCCTTGATGGCCTTTTTGACTTCTTCAACAGACGAAACAGCTACACCTCTAGGAACATTGATGCCGTGTTTGCTCATTAACTCAGCTCCCTGACTTCAAGGAAGGTCGGAGTTAACTAGCCATACTTATCAAACAATTCAAATAGGCATCTGCCATTTCTATAAAATCATATAGAAGAAGTTGCGGACTCAACACGAACAATCACGCATCTAGAGCAAAGCATCGTCATACTTTACAAAAATCAGTCTCTTGATTCCTTAAAAAATGTACAGGAATTGGAGAAGAATTGGAGAAACAAACGAAAACAAAATTGCAACATCAACGCATTAGTTCATTAACAAAGGAAACTCATGTCTGCACTCGATTGCTCCCGCTGTAGCTCACAAAAACGGTTGCGGAAGAAGATGGGGAAATGATATGACCTGGTATTCGTGGATGTTGAGGCGGCGGAGCTGCTGTTGTTGCCACTTGCCGGCGAGGGAAAGTGAACGAGAAATGAGATTGTTGAGCGATCCCCGCACCATGGCGCTCTGGAATTGAAGATCGGAGGTCTGACAGTAAAATGAAGATTGGCGCAAAATTAACAATATTTCTCTCTCAGCTGAACTCTCAAACCACAACGGACCCTAGCAATTCCTTTTTCCCCACTCCGTCTATTGGGCGGGCCGTGCGCTGTGCGCAAATCAATGATGAATTGTGACCCACCTAATTTTTGCTATTTGACTTCTTTTTTTTTCCCAACATTTGCTATTTGACTCTGAATATTAAAACATGCTATTAATAAGAAATGCTTATAGAATTTATTTACTCAGCTCAACCTCAGACATACATATGCCTATTGACCAAAAAATATTAATGCACATAAACTGGTGTGGTTATAATTATTCAACACAAACAATTACTCCTTTAATTTTATTTTTATAGGTCCTTTTCAACATGTCATGTTAAAATAAAAAATTTTAAACCTTTTTATTACTATCTTAAAATTCAACATAGTTTTTTATTTTATCTTATTTAATATGTATATTTTTCACTAAAAACCAAATAATAATCTATAAAATAAGAATAAATGGTAAAATAGTATATTTATATTAAAAATTTAATGATGAAGTTTATTAACAGGACTCAAAAAAAAAACATGAGAGAAGTATCAATCAATGTTAATTTTTAAAATTGGAGTATGAAAAACTGAATCCTGCTTCTCATCTTGATTAACAGTTTTTCAATCACTAAAAGCGTTTAATATAATGGCAAGAAAGACATTTCTCCGTAGGGGCAGGGGCCGCTTCAAGGACGGAGCACGAAAAGTCAGCCGACGCTGTTAGCTCACAGTCTCGCACCTTGAATGGCCCAAAAACGACGTAAGATTTGTATGCCTAGATAGTGCCCCGTGCCAGCAATCAAATTTGAAAAACTTTTAGTATGCAAGATTTGTTATGAGTTCAGTCTTATTTGAATCTATTTTTCTGTTTTTTTTTAAAAAAAGGCCTGGAAAAACTCTTTCACTGACTTGTATATAAAAAAAAAAATGCTCTGCGTCATTTCTAATCGACTTTTTCCTTTTATTTTTCAGTAAAAGATTGATAAACGAGTGAATTGAGTTTACAATTCAGGAGAGAGAGGCTGCGTTGAAAAAAAGTCATCATGAATATCCACAGACTCGATGGTTCGATGGACAAAATTCTCATATTAATAGCAAAATCTATATCCACGTATTTGTAAAATACGAGTCATGCCCTAATTAGTTGAGTATATTATTGGGGAGACCAACGATGAAGGAGACATTGTATCGTGGTTCATCTTCATTGCTTGACATGTGGGAATATAACGTGATCATCGGACTTTTCCAAAGAGGCGTTTCTTTGGTTCTTTGTCAACTTGGAATTCTCAGATTCGGACCCTTAAAAAAAAAAATAAACTGAAAACAAAAAACATACATACAGTTGAGCGAAGGGTTAGATTTTTTTCCCCACATCAAATTAGATCAATTATTCACTTTTTTTTTTATATTACGATTCGAATAATCTGCTTTAGTATTTATAACGTTCTCTCCCTATAAAGATGTCTTCTTCAGGACTCAAACTTATCAATCATTCACTGAATTGTTGATCAATCATGAGTGGACTCTTTAGTTTACTATTGCGCACTAATTGTATCATATCTGATTTTTAATATAAAAGCTAATTGACTAATTTTAAGATATTAAAAAAATTCATTAAGTTAGTTATTTATAATAAATATGTATTGTTTTTTATAGAATATCCTTACTAATTATATATGTTAGCTAATATTATTATTGGATGGAATATTTGACATGTGTAACTATTACAATGACTACTTTAAAAAAATAGATAAATATAAAAAAAAAAGTGAGTTGGGGTCTTGTGTTTAAGATCAAATTAAAAATTAAACTAACTTTTATATTAAGTATCGTGCTAGTGATTTTTATTTTTGATTCCGTAGGCATATGAAATCTACTAGGATTCCTTTTACAGTTTCGAGCGTTTATTTTAAAATTTGCTGGCTTTTCAATGTCAAAGCGTGTAGAGACAAGCTTGTGATTTAAAAAGAAATAAAAAGTTACCATGAAAACATTATGAAGCAGCCCGGGCAATTTGCAAGCAATTTGGATTCAAGAAAAATAGTGGAGGTAACAGTAACTTCTATTTTATTTTACTCCCAGCGGTGTTAGATTTTTTGTCATGCTCATTAGCACACGCATATTCTTAAAACGTCTATTAAAATTAATTCCTATACAAGGCGTATAGTCTTTAGATGGGGTTTGAAATCTGTTGGTTAAGTTTTTTTTTTTAAAAAAAAAACGCTCTATCAAATTATTAAATAAGAGTATACAGTATGCTTCACATATCACATGACTTCGCTAAAAGGTTTTTACTTTATTTTTTGTATTTATTATTTTTAAATTAATTTACTGAATTTATAAATTAATACATAATCTAACGATATGTAAGATTTTTTTTAGAAAGATTATATGATATTTATTATAATTAATTGACTGTTTATTTTATTTTATTAATATATTTATAACAGTTAAGTAGTTTTTATATTAAAATTGAGAGGTCGCAGATATTATCGATATACAGATACAAACATTTATTATCACATATGAAACAGATTTTGCCATTGATTTTTAGCATATATGCGTGGTATTCAGTATCATTTGCTGGATCCGAGCAGCGTTGAGTAGAATTTAAAGCAACTTTCATCATTCAACTTTTTTCCACCAATGAGATTTAAATCTTTACATTTAGTCAAGGCTGACAAGTCTTATATACTCGGTTAAATCACTATTGATTCACATTGGTTTTTAACGATGTCAACATAGCAAATACCTTGTATTAAAGAAATGAAATACTTAAATACAGTTATTCTATACTTTCATTTTTCAACAAGTCTTTTTAAGAAAATATAATAGGTACACATTTTTTCAAAATAAACACAGGTAATTAAAAGCCATTTGAAGCTGGTTAAAACGGTAAAAAATGAGATGCGTATTTAGAAGTCAAGGGTTTAATTTTCATGGGAGAAATTTTATCATACCACAAAACTACAATACTCCTCCGGTCTTTAATATAGGACCCAATTGTTGAGTTGGTTTTTGTCCTAAATATAAGACCCATTTTTCATATTTATCAATTTTCTCTAAATTACCCCTATGGACACTTCCTCAACCATAATCAAGTAGAAGAGGAAGAGGGGATATTAAGAAAGTTGATTATGGTATTTTAGGAAAAACATGTCACATTTCTTATAATTAACTAACTTACCTAACTTCCTTAATCTAATCAAATTAGTTAAATGGATCTTATATTAAGACCAGAAGAGTATAAGATATCGAAGGGAAACTGCCCAGCAATTTTCCCATACTTGATATGAAGAATCTTTACATAATAAAGAATAAAAATATGATAAAAATAGTTTTAATACTTTTGTACAAATAAGATAATAAAAGATATCAAATTTCAAGAACCAGTAGTAGTAAATATAAAACAAGTTCCGTATAAAAATTTATTGTTTGGACACAATAACTCTCTTTTCTTTTTCGCGCCTAACCCATCCTGATCCCATAACAACTTTCTCTTATTTGTTTTTCGTGAGAGGGGTGTTTTAGTCATTTAACGGGCCTTGGCAAACTCGTAATATCAATAAGCTTGGAGGGGCAATCACTAAAACTCGCTCCTATAAATAATCAACTATGAGCCCCGTAGCCCATTCTGCTCCTGTCTCGTCATTCTCTCATCTCTTGCGGCCTCATCCTTCTTTCTTCCCCACTATTTCTCTCTTTCTTTCGTTGTTCGTCTTTCAATTGCTGAAAAACCAGAGTGGCCGCAACACTTCTCCCAAAATCCCAGATTCCGGCCGCGATCCGCCCCATCTTCTGGTTTCTTCGACTTGTGATTTTACGGTTTTGCCCCTCCTTACCCGATAATTACTTTTTCTGGTTGTCGTGTCGTCTTCTCTGCTTTGAAGAAAGTTTTGGGTCTGACGTGGCATGCAGACGGATTGCCATGAGTACCAAAACGATGCGTTTGCCCCCTCGTCGGGTCTTGACGCCTGCTAATGGCCCTTCTGCCCCTAATAAGCGCAAAGACAGAGATGAGAGTTTTGACCCCCCCAAACCCTCAAGCTCAGTCTTGGCCAAAATGCTGAAGCCGGATCATAAGCCCAGACCCGGGTCTGAGCCGCCCGCTTCATCCAATCAGCTCTTAGCCGGATACTTGGCCCACGAGTTCCTGACCAGAGGGACTCTCTTCGGCCAACCCTGGGACCCACCATACCGAGCGGAGGGGGGTCCCACCGAGAAGTTGAAAGGGCAGGTCACGGGGAGCGAGGGGGAAGAAGCCAAGGCTCCGCCGGAGAAGCGCGAAAGATACATCGAAGTAGCGGACTTGTTGAAAGAGGAGGGGCCCCACCTTCCTGGCATCGTCAACCCCACCCAGCTCGGCCGCTTCTTACAGCTGTGATCTACCGGAGGAGGCCCATCCTACACGTGGGGCGATCCCATTGGACAGAAAAGGACCGAGAGAGAAAACCCTTTTGCCTCTCGTTTGTTTGCTGTTCACAGAATTGAAAAATCTGCCTTCTTGGCTTTGCATCTGCGTTGTGCATCTACCTGTATAAATTGTGATCCATAAGGAAAATCTTTTCTTTCAATCTATCTTACTGTTTCTGTCTCTGTTTTTCTGGCCCTCAAGAATTCAAGACGGATCAAGATTTTTTTTGACGGAAATCAAGAGGTACTGTATTTGATTGTTGATTGATTTTGCGTTCAATGATTGATTGATAACCGAGGGAAAGCATAGAATTGTGTGGATTATAGTAAATGATTGAATTTAATATGAGGAAGATAGGGGGTCATAATAGAGTGAAGTGTCAAGACTTTTGGACGCTGAAGCCCTTCGCTTCCCATAGGCAGAATCAATGAGCAATTATGCGATGATGGGACTTGGTGCCTCCGTTCAAATTCAGAACATTTTTACGCCGTTATGTTCGCGACGGAAATTTTCAGGGTTTCATCCATAATTTCCCCTTTTTTCCATAAACAGAACAAAACGAAAACTGATCCAGCTTGGAAACGAAGGATCGACATTAGTACTTTAAATAATTGACGTTCTTGATCTGTTGGGAAAATTCCTCAAGTGTGCCCCGGATGGATCCTATTTGTTTGTTGGACTATTTTATATTATACTCTTTCCATTCCTTATTATAAGGAACAAATAATCAAATTACGTTGATAAAAAAATAGTTAAAATTAGTTAGGACAATTAATGTGTAAAAATATAATGTTTTTTCTAACAATACCCCCATTAATAAGGAGATAGAGTATAAGAGAGAACAATTAAATTATTAAAAGAAGGAGAAGTGGGAGAGAGAGAGTATGAGTTGGAGACAAAATAAATAGGGGGTAAAATAGAAAATCAATACAAAAAAATAGAGACAACTTTTAAGTGTCTCTTATATATGGGAACATGCCATAAGTATCAAATATCTCTTGTAATAAGGAACGGATGAAGTATTTTTGAAAAATATCACTGGATAGATAAATTTTCCATTTTGAATATCGCGGCTTTCCATTTTTTGTTTTGAATGTGCAGTGTGTGTGTGTATTCATTGACCCTAAATTGCATTGATCTTCCTTCTTCTTTTTTTTTTAATCTCTTTAGTCTTATCTGATTCTTATATATGAGAACTGTGACAACAACTTAAAGTTCTCTCAATTCACTTTTGATTGTGAGTCTAATAAATATGAGCGTATCATGTTCGCAGAATAGCAACATTGTTCATGTAATATAGTTATTAGAAGAAGGGGGAAACAGTGAATAAAAAATTAATTTGTTATGGTATAATTTTATTACTCTGCATTCTTTTTCCTTTGGTGTAATTAGAAGATTTTATTGGTGAACTAAGCTGAGTTACCTGTCTCAGGTTTTGAATTCCTACATTTCATAGGCACTTTCAACAAAAGTTGTGAATTCTCTGTTTTTCTCCCCATAAAAACTGCCTCGACTTTCATACCAAATATAAAAGGCTAAATACAAACCTGGTAATTGTTATTCTTTTAATCAGTGGTAATTGGTATTCAAACGTGCTAAATATGAGGCCTCTTTTTTAAAAATTCCATTCCCATTTTACCGTTCTGGATGTTACGGTTTACTCAACTGCGTCTTGCATGCTTTGCACCTAGTGATAAAAAGTCATAATATTTTGTGCAGTGTTTCGGCTTTGCAAAACCATAACTTTAATTATACGGTAAAAACCGCAAGGCTGTGCAGTAGTATTTGGGAGAAGCGGACGTTAATTAAACGTGATCCTGACTCGTAAAATGTACTTGTTGAGCCATTTGGCATCCGTGTATGAACTGGGACTTGGCATCAAAGGAAAGAGCGGAAGTTTCGCTGCCCAATTATTGTTGTTTTTGTGCCGGGACTGTGCTCCACTTGGAATATATTTAAGAAATTTCATACCAACTTACTCAAAATTCTGCAAATTTCTTTTCATACTTAATATAAGGCATAATTCATAGAGTAATTATATTAAATACTGAAGAAGTACTATACTTTTCAGGTGCAAAGAGTTAACTCTTGAATGATCTTTAGGTGGAGTCCGAAATAACGATTAGCTAACATGCAAGAAAGTACAACAAAGAGACATTTAGCCCCCATTTGGTATGAAATACTAAAAATAAGTGGTAAGAATTGGAATTAAAATTAAAAAAAATTATCATAAGAAATTGCTTGTTGCTTAAGATTTAACAAACCCGTATATATAAGGCAACTCATATAATTCATCAAATGCATTGTTCAAGAGACAGGGTATTTGAATCCCATCTAAAATTTGGAATAACATGATGTCCTCTCATATTTCCCATGTGACAATAATATTTTGAGGATAACATTTAGATCAAATTATTTATATTTATTATGTTAAATTCTTTAATCTCACTCATTATTTTATTAATTTTAATTGTTCAAATGTGTATGTGAAATTATAAGTTCACCAATAAATTTAAACTCGTGGAAATAAATAATTTTACCTAAATTTTGTCCACATTATAAACATTACAAAGTGAATTTGATACAAAATTATGGATCTTAAAGAAGTTCCCGCTGACCTGCGAGATGAATGAATCCTGGGAACTGGATTCGTTGGGAAGGCAACCCGTGTTGCTAAGACGTTCCTTGCTTTCTTTTTCCTTTCCTCTTTAAACTCTATTTTCATTATACCAAACATGGTCTTACATGAATTAGTTTAATTTATGTTTATCTTAAAAAGGTCTTGCAAGTTGCAACCATTGGACTTGAGGTCCATAACAATAAATTTTTTTTAATAAAAATTTTTTCCATACTTTTTCCCAATAGAGAGTTGGAGTTTTGGATAAGAGACGTTGGTCTTCCATTCCTTTGAGAATATTTTCTTTAGAAAAAAATAAGAAGACCTACAAACAATTTTCAAATAAGAAATTAATTATTTTTCAGCTGCATTTATTTGTCAAAATTTCTTATTTTCATATATACCTGCGCGTAATTGAGTTTTTATTTGAAACCCAGGTCTAATTCTCTTTGAAAAGTATCAGCCATGGAGATGGAGGTTTTTTGTCTGGGAGAATTAGAACAAAGAGCCCGCAGATAAAATATTCAGTACAGAGGATCATAAAAAATAAAATTATTTTAAAGGACCATGTATTGAAATATAATTTTTAAAAGACTAAACTGCTCATTACTAATCTTTCTATATTCTCTTATACGAGATTTCAAGTATTTGACAGTAGTGAGTTCTCTCGTTTTCTATTAGCCCCCACCCCACCCCCCCACACAAAATCAGAGAGCCCTTGGAACTTATTGATCATGAAGGCTTTTACGCACTTTTAAATTCCAGAAATATGATTCTTTGGCGGTAGGTGCTAGAAACTATTGTAGGAGGAGATAACACGATCATTTGCTCTCAAACTCTTTTTGCATTTCTCTTGTTATCTACCAGTGATTGTTGCAGAGTATATATTAAGGAGGACTATTTTAGTCAAAATAATAGGTCAATGTTATGATTTAATAGTCATAGATGAAAGTTAAATTTCAAAACTGGAAGGAATGTTTGTGTAATGTATATTTTGATTTTAAGGAGGTTCATATAGATTTTCAAAATAAAGAGAGATCTCTGTAATTTAAATTAAATAGAAAGAAAATAGATATATTTTACTCTTTTTTTTTTAATTCCTAAATGTAAACAAAATCGAGGGAAACGAAGGAAGTGGAAGGAGTAATTTGGTATTTTAAAATATATATTTAAACATTTTTTTTTTAAAAAATAATTTAAATTTTTATGATCCTTCTTACTAAATATTGTTCTCTACGGGTTTTTTTGTCTAATTCTCCTTTTTTGTTCCCCACGAGGAGAGCCCAAGGCAATGATTCTATGAAAACCAAAGAATTATTTTTTCTCTTTTCCTGTTTTTTTCCCCCCCGAATTGTCCAAAGAGTGATCTCTCTCCCCACCTCTTACCACAGAGAGACATTTTCTTTTCATTTTGTACGTGCAAAAGATTTATATATTAATTTAACATTTAAACCCTATTATATATTTCTCCGGTTCTAAATATAAACTATTTTTATAGTATAATTATATATAAAAAAGTATTATATTAATTACACTATAAAAACAGTTCTTATATTTAGAATAAAAGGAGTATATACATTGAAATTGATCCCAATTAATTGATAAAAGCTTATAAAAAGATAGCCTGGACGTGCGCTATCATGTGCTTCTGCCCCTGGAATTTAATGCCTGACGTGGCTTATGCTTCTGCCCGAATTTAATTCTTATCATTTGCACTCTAATTATATGTGTTACAGAAAATAAATCACGAAAATAAGGAAAAAAGGAAAGCTAGATAAAAGAAGGAAAGATTCTTGAAGCTTTAGGATGCATTGATTAGAAAAAAATTCGGTCATGGGGGTGGCTGTTTGCAGGCTGTGGGCTCGCACCCTCTGCTTTTCATGCTGGAAAATCAAAAGGTATTCACTTTTTCCTTTGTTTATGTCGAATATATATTTGGTTTCATGGCTCCTACTGGTTTCTGGGGCGAATTTACAGCAATTTGTGTATGCGTATGTTGTTTATACTTGAGTCATCATGGTTTGTTTAAAGTCATGAAGCCTGCTCTTTTGTTCCGTCCGTTGTCAATTTTACGCGTGGTTTTTAACGATTCAAATGGCCTTGATTCTGATAGCTGTTTATCTGTGACTGTTTCTTACGTGATGTATTATTGTTTTTCCATTGTTGGCTGGAGTCAAATATGCTTTTATGTTTCTGAGGTTCAATTCTACTCCATATGGTATAATACTATATTCTTGATGAGTTTATTGACAGCTTTTGATTTCTTTTTCGTTTGATTCAAATAAAAAGAATAGAGAGCTAGAACTGGCGTACCTTGTATTTTCTGGTTATACCTTAGGAAACGACCGTTTTCATCTTGTATGACTTGATAAATTAATATTTGCCCTTGACAGATTTTTGAGTCAAGATAAAACTAATGGGGCATAGAATCAGAGCAGACAGGAAAGGCAATACCAACAAGGGTGTGCGGAAGGTAATGAAGTGCCTATGCTCAGAGGAGCCATTAAGAGAAGAAGATGATAACAGCATCGAGGAAGTTGAATCATCCCTTTGTGGAAGTGGCTGTTTGAATTATGAGGTTGGTTTCTTCCAAATTCCTTGCGTTTGACTGTTGTGCGGAATTGTCAGTCACTGTATGCTATGCTCATTCTAATCTAACCCGCAGAAAAGAATCTACATGCTTGTGTAGTATCTAATCAAGAAGTGATCCATGTTTCTCCTGGTTCCTTAATTACATCCAAGCTGGTTTTAGATCTTCTTTCTCTGCCCAATCAATTGAACAACCCCCAGCATCAATTGTCAGATCAGTCACACATCTTGACTCATTTTATTTTTTATGATCAACTTAATGAAGTCTATCAGACCAGAGGCTATCGTCATAGCCTCACAGGTTCGTAGACTCATAGGCCCAGTTTGAGAGCGCCTCTGTCTGGAAATATCTCTTGATTTTTTTGTCAGTGAGACATATAATGGCTGGATTTTACATTTTACATCCAATTATTAAATACCCACACTTTTGCCTCATCATGTTCATATGAAGCTAGCCGATGCATCCTCTTCCTCAATGAACTAGCTATATTCAGTTAACTTAATGCTTTTAATTCGGTAACTTTTTCGGGAAACTCTTTGGGCTTTACATGTATTGAACAATGTACATAATTTTCAGTTATTTACTTGTTGTAAGCACTCTGCAGGAAGCTAGAGCTCGTTTGGGAAAATGTGAATATCAGAAAGGAAATATAGAAGCTGCTGTGCATGTTTTTGAGCAAATAGATACGGAGGTTGTAGCTTCCATGATTAAAAGTTCTCTTGCCAAAAGGGGAACGCACCACGAGAGACTTTCCCAGAATCATGCTACGCGGTCATTGTCCATTCATTCTGTTGGCTTACTGTTGGAAGCATTCTTCTTAAAAGCAAAGTCTTTGCAGGCTCTTGGAAAGTTTAAAGGTACCCTCACTGTTGTTTTCATAATTTGATTCACAACGTAGTTGTTCTTTTCAATCTGCACATTGATGTGTCCAATCTGACATAAACTTTTGGTTCTAGTTATTAGGTGTGATGCATACTTGACTAAGTGCTAAGGTTATTTTTTTTCAACTTCGGGATGTCCTTTTATCAGAATACGCAGCCGCCTCGTGACTGTGTCATTCTCTCTTGACAAAGTTTTTCTGTGTAGTTTGTTCCTATCACTCGAGGCCATATATTACCTATTTCAATTATCTCTATTCTTAGCAGATTTATCACCCTATGCGCTGCATTACTTGAACTGTTTATCATGTTAAATAATTAGCCTTCTTTGCTTGAAGTTCATCACAAAGAGATCATTTTAGCCGGTCATTGCTGAAATTCTGATGCAAATTTGTCTGATGTCAAGCAAGATAGCGTTGTTCCTTTGAACTTCGGTCGTTTAGAAAATTTAGGGGAAGCTTTGAATCATATCAATATGAGGAGACAAAAGGCAATCAATCTGATGACATATATTTCAAAATCATTCTCGCAGAAGCTGCCCTATCTTGCAAAGTTATTCTGGACATGGCCGAATCTTCATTACCCCGAGGCTTGCCTGAAAACTTTGGTGTTGGATGTAAATTGCAGGAGACTCTGAGTAGCGTGATTGAGTTGCTTCCTCACTTGTGGAAACTTGCAGATAGTCCACATGAAGCTATTATGTCATACCGACGGGCACTTCTTCATAAGTGGAATCTTGACGCAAAAGTCACAGCAAAGATTCAGAAAGAGTTTGCTGTTTTTCTTCTATATAGTGGAGTGGAAGCAAGTCCTCCCAGTCTTCGTTCCCAAATGGACACCTCATATGTACCCAGAAATAACATAGAAGAGGCTATACTTCTTTTGATGATTCTGTTAAGACAGGTCTGTTCCAATAGAATTGAGTGGGATCCTTCAATTTTGGATCATCTTTCATTTGCTTTGTCTGTTTCAGGGGATTTGACAGCTTTAGCCAATCAATTGGAACAATTGCTCCCCTCCTCTGTCAATCCAACAGAAAAGTGCCAAACACTTGCTTTTTGTTATTATGGAGCAGGTCAGGACTTGGTGGCACTGGGACTTCTTAGAAAAATGTTATGTAGCAGAGAGGACCCAAAACATGTTTCAGGTTTGTTAATGGCAGCAAAGATTTGTTGTGAGAACCCTAGTCTTGCTGGAGAAGGGGTAAGTTTTGCTCGCAGATTGCTTGAGAAATTGGAAGGAAGATGTGATCAATTAGCAAGTTCTGCCTATTGCTTCCTTGGTCTATCATTTTCAGCACATTCAAAATCGTCCATTTCTGATTCAGAGAGGTACAGACGACAATCTGAGGCACTTCACAACCTGGAAGTTGCCTCCAGAATGACAAGAATGAGAAACCCGCTGATCCAATACCATCTCAGTTTAGAATATGCTGAACAGAGAAAGTTGGATGCTGCCCTTGATTATGCCAAATGCTTGCTAGAACTGGAAGCAGGGTCTAATATTAAAGGGTGGTTACTACTGGCCAGGATATTATCAGCTCAAAGTCGATTTTTGGATTCTGAATCTGTTATCAATGCTGCTTTGGACCAGACTGGGAAATGGGATCAAGGAAATTTGCTGCGAACAAAAGCTAAACTTCAGATTGCGCAGGGCCGTTTAAGGAGTGGCATCGAAACGTATATTCAGCTTCTTGCTGTTCTTCAAATTCAGAGCACAAACTTTGGTTCTGAGGAAAAGCTAAATAAGGTATGCTCATTATTTGAACTTACTTTTAAAATTCTGAATTAATACGCATCATGTCGCTTATTATATACATTTTTTCTCTCTGAGCATTTTCATGGTTGATTAATCTCACGGAAGAAATATGGTTCTTTTCGGAAAGAACCATTGCTTCTGGCTGTTTAATTACCTTTGTCTCCTTTACAATCTATTCGAGACAGGACGTCAAAGATGATACCCAGAGATTGGAAATGGAAATATGGCATGATCTTGCCTTCTTATACATAAGCCAGTCAAAATGGCATGATGCAGGAGCGTGTCTTTCAAAGTCTAAGGGCATCAAACTATACTCTGCTTCTAGATGTCATGCAACCGGTCTGATATATGAAGCAAAGGGCCTTTATAAAGAGGCTCTAAAAGCTTATCGTGAAGCTTTGGATATTGATCCCAATCACGTCCCAAGCTTGATTTCTAATGCGTTGGTTCTCAGAAGGTGCAGTAAAGAATTGAATGCTGCAGTTCGAGGGTACCTGATGGATGCTCTACGGCATGACAGAATGAATGCTTCTGCTTGGTACCATCTTGGCATTCTTCACAAGGCTGAGGGTACAATATCTTCATTAGTGGAAGCCATGGAATGCTTCAAGGCTGCACAATATCTCGAAGAAACTGCACCAGTTGAGCCTTTCAGATGACTAGCTCATGCTCGTTCTCCAGATTCTCACCAAAAAAAAAAAAAAAAACTCTTTTTTGCACTTGGTATGTTGAATCAAGCATAGTTTTTACGTGTTCTTATCTTGTGATATAGTTCAATCGGAAAACAAAATAAGGAAGGCACGCTTCATGATATCCTTTGATTTCCTTCTGTGGGAGCCCTGGCTATAGTTACCAATGGAGTGACAAGAAGTTTTCATGTGGTATTGATTGATTGTGCAACAAGTGAATAAAAGATGACGACGACGACGACCATGAAAAGTATAGCAAAGACTGAAGTTCTGAGTTCAGCTGTGTGTCTCGAATATTCTGAATTTCTGAATGTGAAAATAGAGGAGCAAATATCATGCAGCACAGGTTTAAAGTGCAGAAAAAGAAGCCCCGACGTTACTATCCCACGATTTTTTGGGCTGTCAATCTTGAAGGGAAACGCAAGTATGAACAGAGCGTCTATATTCAAACAATCCGTGATAACGGTCCCGCCTCATGAGTTGTTCATGCCTTTTCTCGTATGAGAGTTTGAATTTGTAAAGCCAAGAAATTACTTTCAAAATGAAAAATATAATCATATTAGAAATGAATTTTTTTAAAAAATTTCTTTCCTAATGATATATTTCGGAAAAAAGGTTAAACTGGGTTTCTAACTTCTAAGATCAGCAAAATCACTCATATAACTGTTTTTGTTTCGCTATTAAAAAAAGGTAAAACTTCATCTTTCAGTGAAATGTTTATCTCAGTCAGTCCGTTCACATTTCACGGCCAGAGGCTTGATCAGTGGCCTATTTATTTATGCCACTTCGTCAAGGAAACCCACATGATTATCCTTAGTGAAATAATTTACTCTTAAACTATTTTTAGTGTTTTTAACAAAAAGCGAAAGACAAAGATTCAGAATCGAGAAATTGTTTGGGTCTAGGCATGTGTATAGGGAAGATGTTGCTGCTACAAATAGTTTAGCGAGACTCTCCGTTAGATGGCCGCTCGCTATCTTTTGATTACTGTGAGATAATGAAATTCAGTATTTATTGAAAAAGAAACAAAGTATTATTTCTCCGATGGAAACAACTCGATCCGGGATCCAGTATAACACCACTTTAGCAAAACAATGCGCCGACAGAGCTGGGGCCGGAATTAAGGCTAAATGGCTAACGCTGAAACAGACAAAAAGACAAGGCACGCACAGGGCAGAGAAAAAGTTTGTGCCTTTATATACCGAGTCCTTTGACTCGGACTCCCCCACTCTCTCCCTGTTTTTCTTTTGAATATATTGTGGCAAAAATCTACAGAGCATCGCAGATACGGAAAGATGGAAGGTAAGAGAGCGGAGGAAGCTGCTGGCCCATCTTCAGGGCTTCCCGCAACAAGACCAGAAATGCCTGAAAATCCAAATGAAGAGGAAGATGAAGCAGAAGAGGAGGAAGAAGAAGCCGATCATCATAAAACTGGCGGGGTAGTCAATGCTTTTGTTCCTGCTCCTCCTGTTTCTCTCAAGGAGCAGATCGAACTCGACAAGGTGATCTTTTTTCTCATTTTCCCTCCCCCATTTCCATATGTATTTCTTGTTTTTTATTCGGGTTTTCTGAAAGCTTTAAGTTTCTGCTATCGAGCATCAATTTGAGAGAGTAATCGGGGTTTGCAGGAGGACGAGAGCCTAAGGAGGTGGAAGGAGAAACTATTGGGTTGCTTGGAAAGTGATTTAGATGGTTTGTTTGAGGATTTTGTTCGCACTCTATATATACTTTATGGCACTTATGGCGGTGGTTCTATTTTAAGTTGGGTTCCTTGTTGATGATTAGGGCAAGTGGATCCTGAAGTGAGATTCCATTCCATTGGAATTGTGTCTGATGATTTTGGTGAAATTGTTTCTCCGCTGCCCGTGGATGAAAACCAAAATGGTCGAGTCCTATTCACTCTCAGGGAAGGGTCTCGCTATCAGCTTAAGCTCAAATTTAGTGTCCTCCACAACATTGTATCTGGCCTCGCATACTCCAACACTGTTTGGAAATCTGGGCTTCAAGGTACGCCTATTCTCACCTAATCTTCAGTTTGCAAGATCACTATCGTGATTTTCAAATATTAGTGTTTCGAAACTGTTCTCTTTTCTTATGACTTTGTTTCAAGTTATATATATTTTATTTTTGAGATTCTGGGAAATGCATATAATGATCGATAGGCTATTCAGCTTGGAGTAGCTCTTTAGGTCTCATAGCTTTATAGGTTACTCATATTGATAAAGGGAAATATGTCTGTTCATATGTTGTGTAGTGTCCTGTTTCTCATGTATTGTGTTTATAATTTGGTTTCAACTGTTTGGCTTTATTATTCAGTTGACCAGAACAAAGGAATGCTGGGTACTTTTGCTCCTCAAAAAGAACCATATGTCCATGCGTTGAACGAGGAGGTCACTCCATCTGGCGCGCTTGCAAGAGGTCTTTACTCTGCTGAACTTAAGGTATGGTGAAGCAGAACACTTGACACTTGACCATCTTCATGATTTCTATCCACATAATGCTTGACACATCTAATTTCCTTCCGGTATCGTGTTTAACAGTTTGAAGATGATGACAGAAGGTGTCACTTAGAGCTTAAATATTTGTTCGAGATCAAAAAGAGGAGCTAGCCAGCCTTGGTTTTCTGATGCATCTCTTCTTCCAGTCTTTGCTTGCCATCCTCTTTATTCTTTCTGAACGTAAACAAAGCTCTTTTGGGCGTCACTTTTGTTGCATTTTTATACTTGTTTGTCATCATATAAAAAATTGGGTGTTTTACTGTGCCACGGCCTTATCATGTTCACAACTGCAAAATGATTTTATTCTGATACGTATGGCAGGCACAAAAAGCTTCTCTTTCACTTGAATGGGTTGGCAACTTGAAAGAGTTTTTGAAACTTAAGCGCTAAGAAACAGTAAAACTCGGATCCCCTAGACGCTCTCGCATGTCTATCAATTTATGACATGACAGTGATAGGGGTTCTGCAAAGTTGGGGGTGAAAAGGAAGTTGATAGTGACTAGTTTGACAAATTGTTTCCAAACGGCCTGGACATTGTAATCACCTGTTTCATTTCAATAAAGGAGCTCATAATTTCATGCGTTGCAAGCAAATCTTTCGGGTTGGTACGGCTGCAACCAGTTTTGGGACCAGCCTGCAATTATTAATTGTGGTGCACCGTAATGTAAGATGCTCATGCTTAACTAGAATGGCTAAAAGGATATGTACCTGTTTTGCACTATTATCAGTAAATTGGCGCTTGACACTGACTTGCCAACTTTGTTGTTCTACTTTTCTCTTTTTCTTTAAGGTCCCTTTGATTCCCTTCCACCTCTAGGGTTAGTGCATTTGCTGGAATTGGTCTCTCCTTCCCTTCTGCAACTTAAAGAAAATAAAAGGCGTCTTAAAATTCTTATTACAGTAAACGACATGCATATAAAGCTAACGGGAGGGATTTTCCAGGATCAGTTTCAGAACCTAATTACTGGACTAGGAATTTACGAGAATTACGTAAGAGACACACGAATGGGTTGATAAGATTGCAGATTGATTGCTAGGAATAGATAACCTTGAAGGATCATGAACTGGATCAGTGGGTTCTGGACAAACAATATTACATGTACAAGTGTCTGCGAACTAGGAGGATAAGAAGATGATAGATGGATATTTACAGTAGAGACGATCCTGCAACTTGCTTTTTTGTCTAGCGGCACTCCTGCAAAGATTTTGAATTTTCTATCCAAAGCTTAACGCAGTAAGTTAATAAATTTATATGCTCTGTTGGTCTTAGCTTTGGGAATATTGTGATTTTCAATGACACGAAGTTTATTTCGATATCTGCATACATTGGCAAAATATTCGGTAAGCGTTATTGTAAAATTATTACTACGGAGTTTTAAATCGCATGAGCGTGTATTCGTCAAAATACAAGTGTAAAGACAGTTCAAAACAGAAATCATTCGTTAACTTTGAAAATGTTTGAGGATAATTGAACTAATTCATATCATAACAGACTAAATTTCTCTTCTTCTTTTTATATGCAATTAATATCTGTTATGAAAATAAGGAATCAGAACAAGTTATTTTATTTTTATACAATATATTGCTTTTATTTTTTATTACAAAGACCTGCATATTTTAAAATATAATATTTCTTATTTAAAGCATTACTTTTTTCACTTGATACTCTAATTAACTACAAAAAATTCTAATTTAGTAACGAAATTTTTATAACTAATAACTTTTATCGAGAGTAATAAAAATAATAAGTAATTTTAATTAATTTTTTAGTTTACATAAAATAAATAATTGAAACTTATAAAAGAAAAAAAGAAGTAATAATATATCCGTATTTGTTGACAGAGAAGGGAAGAGCTATCTAATGATTGAATTTTAGAGTTTGCCTTTGATAAAGTAAGAATTTGTATAAGGTTAATCACTGAGAAATTAAGACAACAACGTACCTTCGTTACTAAATATAAAAGCTAGTTAACTAATTTGAATAGATTAAAAAAATAAATTAAGTTAGTTATTTATATTAAATTATTTATATTAAATAGGTGTTGTCTTTCTTAAAATATCCTTATTAATAAAGTTTATTGATTAGAACTATCATTATTAAAAAGACTATCTTTAAAAAAATAAAAAATAAAATGTATTAAAATCTTACATTTAAAATTAAAATAAAAATTAAAAAAAATCTTATATTAGCAACAGAAAGTAATATTTTTTAACGAAACATGTACATAGGTAGTGTGGCGCCAAAATGAAAAACAAACAACCCATATAGGCTGATAGTTTTTTGGCGTTCTCACATCCCAAAGTTTCAACTGGGAAAACCAAAGATGATCGTCCCGCAATACGGCGACGAGGGTTATCTACAAATGCTTGATCCTCTCACTTTCCTGCATTTCTTTGTTCAAACCATTTCACCTTACGATTGGCGAAGGCATTGCTTTTGCATTTGTGTTTGTTTCTCTGACAACATTTCCCATGGAATCTTCCAGGTTCCACTTCAGAGATCACCAAGAATTTCAAAGTTCGATGCATTCAGAGCCCAGCTCCTTCGTTTCTTCGGTTTCAAGTGACCGAGGAGATAGCGAGCCTGAGCTTGAATCCATTACTGGACGGGTTTGAATCCCAAACCCTCTCTTCCTCTTTGTTCAATTGAGTATTTGTTTCCTTCCCAAAACAAACAAATTGTATTTTTTGCTGATAGGGCATTAAGCATCTCTGTTCTGAACTTCTGGAGCTTAAGGCAGCCGCTGGTGAAGAGTTGCATTCAAACATCTTGGCTCACTCTTCAGCTTTTCTTAGGTAAAAGGCTTTCCCAAATTTCATTTCCCATTTACGAGATGCGCATGCCCTTGATCTAATGTGATTGATTGCGTATGTGGTGTTCAATGTCATGGGCTGAAGGCCTACGTTCGATCTTGCTTCCCTCGTTCGCATTTAAATGCAAACGAAAATTTTCATATTTTGCAATCAGGAAGATCAGCTGCATGATCTGAGGCTCTCTTTGTAGCATTGATCTTTCAGACGCAGCAATTTTGAAATGCTTATTATATTTTGTGATGGGTTACAATAACATAAGGTTGAGATATGCTCTCTTGTGTGCAGAATACTAGAGGAAGTGAAAGGAGTTGAAAATGAACTTCTGCAACTAGAAAACCATTGTATAGCCCATCAAAGACTAGTTAAGAATCTTATGGATGACATATATCCAAAGATACTATCAGAAGATGTCATACATTCAACCTTTGAAGATAAGATAGATGCTTTACTATCTTCTCCCAGTGAACTAGAAGTTCACATTAATGATTTTTCGGAGAAGCTGGATATTTATCTGTCTGAAAACCGGATAGATGAAGCATTGGACCTCTTAGAATCTACAGATGAATATCTTCAGAATATTCATTTTGAGGACCATTCTCCACAGAGCGAGATCATGTCATACAAATCTTTGATTACTGAGAGGAAGTCTACCCTTATACGCCAATTGACTCAGATAGCTGAGAATTCAAAGACAGCAGGACTGGAGCTACACCAAGCACTATCTGGTATTCGCAGGCTTGGGGATAGTCAACTTGCTGTCGATCTGTTACTTAAACATTACTATTCGCGTATTTCTACCGGTACTTGTAATTTGCATCGGTCAAGATCATCTTCCGATGGGACATACATAAGAGAACTGGCAAGATTTGTATTTTCTATGATTTCACATGCGGCAAGGAGCTTTGTGAAATTATGTGGTGAAAATTCTTCTTATCTCTCTGAACTTGAGCAGTGGGCATACGAAGAAACAAAATCGTTTATCAATTGTTTGGAAAAATATGTTAAAAGCATCTCAGAGGTAAGGGGTGGGCTGACCAATGCCATAAAAGCTGTGCAGTTTGCAGTCTCGTACTGTTCTTTGTTAGAAAATCACAACCTGGTGTTGCGACCATACTTGGTAAGGCAACTGTGCCCTTGCATGGAAGAGGTTTTACTTCTACATATAAACCAATTTAAGAAGGTGATTGCTATCTTCTCCGCCAGTGATCACTGGGTTCTACAGAGATATCTCGTATCTGGACTTTTTGGTGTAGGATCACCGTCTCGGCCTGTTGGGCAACAACCGGAATATTGCTTGCTAACTTCCAGTGGCCGGAAATTTATGACACTATTGCAGGTTTCCAATTTCTCTCTAATTATTTTGGGTTCTAATTCCTAACTCGTGTGCGTGCGTGCGCGTGCGTGCGTGCGTGTATTATTCGGTAGTTGATATTAAATGTAACATATATCAGTCATTGCGTCTTTTAGCAGGCCATAGTAGAAGATATATCTCCTTTAACTGGCCTTAAAATGGGAAGTTCAGTCATCAGTGGACTAACGAAGCTCTTCTCAGAGTATGTTACTATACTTGAACGAGCCCTCACATATGACACGGGTGTAATAGAGAAAGATACTTTCAGAATCAAGCCAGCTGAGTCAGTGTCACAACAGGTTTCTATTTTGGCAAATCTGTCAACGTTAGTGCAGTTTCTCAGTATCATGGCTGAGAGGGTATTTAGAAGCACCGTTGACATAGGTTCAAACTCAGTGGAAAACCATTCGGTCGCCTATCAGCACGCGGAGCTTGATGATTTTGTATTATCTATTGAAGAAAGTTCTAATAAGTTGAGACATCAATTCTGCCAGCAGTTCATATTCAGAGTACTGTCTCCTCATAGAAGCCATGAAATTACTCTAGCCGCTCACGATAAAGAACAGTGTGATGCTAACACAATCCCCAATTTAATGCCCTCTGGTGTTCTTCAGGTATGTCTTTCATGTATATTGTTCAGAAAGTCGTCAACCCAATGTATCTGCAGGCAGCAATACTATTAACTTGAGAGATCAAGTCAAAGTCGATGGGCTGTTAAGAGAAAGCTGAGATTACCAAAACTCAAATTCATCTCACATTTCAGCACTTGTTAAAGTTTCCTTCTCAAAATTTTTTAAAACTACGTTGCAGAAGAAGATGCTGTGACTTGTAAAATGGGCACAAATTGCTGAAGGAAGTTCAAAGAAACTGCTAGCTGCTTTTTATTCTGAGAAATTTATGTTGTATTTTATATTTGATCTGATATATCTTTTTTTTTTTTTTTTTTTTTACTGTGGCAAGTTTTTATTTCTAGAAATGAGGAAATTGGAGCAACTTGCTGAAGGAAACGTTTTGGAAGTGGATTGGTTGACGGACTTGCTTAGAGAGATGATGGAGTCCATCTTTATCTGGGTTTCCCAAAACAAGAACATTCTCGGAAGTGCAGAAGAGAATACAAGTTCAGAACATGATGACCCCAAGCAGGTTTTGATCTGCCGGCCCCTTCTCTTCTCTTAATATGACGTTTTACTACTATTTGAACTTGTCTGTAGAGTGGAATGGAATTTTAGTTCTCATAAATAACTTCAGATTCCAAACATCAACTCGAATTATGATTTCCATCTAACTAGCTAGTCGTTTATTGAGCAGTTTGTTCTGGATGTGCAATTCTTGATGGAAATTGCAATGTATGGAGGATATTTTTCCAATGATCCCTTGGTACTTCTCTCGCTCATGAAATCAACCTTTCATTCAGCAGGACTCGATCCTTTCAGGTGATTTTTTTTTTTTTTAACCAGAAAAGGTGATGTTTTCTCATTATCAGTGTTTTCCAAATGCTACATTTCTTCTGATGATGTCCTCTTATTCCTTTTCAGAGATGTCGATAACGACGGATGGACGATTGATGCTGCTACGTGGACGATCCAAATGCTGCTGGAGATTGAGAAAACAAATTTTCCCCACAAGGAGCACGTGGTTACACTTGAAGAGGCGTTACATGAGGCCGATCGATCCGCACATACTGGTGCTTTTTCTCAGGAAGAGGATTCATATTCTTCAGAGAATGACGTAGATACAGAGGAAGATGAAATTGGCAAAGATGTGTCGGAAATTGCTATCGATTCAGAAACGGTTTCACCGAACATGGAAGAATCGTTAGGTCTTGTAGAAAGGGAGAGAGATTTTGTTGATAAAAACACTCGTACTGAATTGGAGAATACTGAATATGAAAAAGAAACTGATGCAGAACATGATGGAATATTGTCTCCAGCATCTCCAGGCGCGTCTGTGGCTGGCGAAAGGGTAGATGGACCCAACATTGGGACGCAAGGGACTGAAGATTCTGTTAAAAAAGTAGGTTAAGAGGATGGAGAGGGTGTTGAGCTTCATGTTCAGTGAGATGACCAAAAGATTCTGTAAGGAAGACTTTGGTGAAGAGAAGTCGCTGAGGCCCATAGGAATAAGGATCAAAGCTTTAGGAGAATAAGAACAAGCAAGACCAACCGCAGATTTTGCTCCAAATTCTTTCATTCACCTTTTTAATTTGGCCCTAAACTTGTTTTCTGAGCTCATTTAAAGTCACTTTCTCATAGATTTTGTTATTTCTATTTTCTGCGCCTAAGACACTGACGCCATTAATTACATGTTATTTCAATGATTGTAGTCCGAGTATAATTCCTTCTGTATCAAATATGAAGGTACCGATACCTATCAATACCTATCCTACGTGGACAACAATGAAGTCAGTTAAAATTAATTAAGTTAATTAAATTTTCAGCTTATGATGTGTATTGGGAGGCTGTTGGGCTCAGACTACGACCTGCTGCTATACAACAAACATAACCAAGGGCCTTACGAAAATTTTCTTGCAAAATTTAAACCTGCTGCTGGCCCTTGGTTCTAGGGATGATTAATTATCCGGTTTTAAATTATGAATTTGGTCACTTCGTAACTAACGATGTCACGATGACATTATAGTAAAATGGTATGAAAGGAAAGTAAATAAATAAATAAAAAAAATTAAAAGGTCAGTTTATTTTGTTTAGTTTTCTGTCACTGTCACTTTATTTTTCTTATACTTGAGGTGTTTGGAAACTATGAAAAGTGTTTTTACATGCCGAAGAGTAGTCTTATTATTTGAGCTGTTTGATCATTATAGTAAGGTTATACTGATTTTAGAGCTGTTTGATCATTATGATAAGAAGGTTATACTGATTTTCTTGACCTTTATAAATTACGAGGAAGGAAACTATACATTGCTTTTAGCTTTGATTTAGATCGTAATGGCTGGGGCATGCCGATCGAGCAAATTAAGAAATGATTCAAACATTACAATAAGATAAATCTGAAAAGCTTAATTTGTTTTTACATAACAAAAACAGAAGTTGCGTTTGCCCTAATCGTAGTTGGCTGCCCCCAGCCGCGGGAACTGCAGGCTTAGGTCGATCTTGTCCTGAGAGGACAAAGTTTTCTTTGTTGAATCCTCCATCTCCAAGTCCGTTTTGGTTTCCGTAAAATCAACAGTATACACGAATGACTTGGAAACAGCCAAAAAGAACAGAAAGTTGAGAAAGCTCAGGACGGCCAAGATTGCATAGTAGTAATCTAAATGAGACACATTGAGATTGTCCAAAATCCAACCCTTGCCACCATATCTCTTGGTAACATCAGCAACGGTTGACAGAATGAAAGAACTGAGAAAATGTCCAATTCCCACGCTGGTACTAAAATATGACGTGCCCAGACTTTTCATGCCTTCTGGAGCTTGATCATAAAAGAACTCTAACTTTGCAACTTCCACGAAAGTATCAGCAATCCCTGCCAAACCGAACTGAGGGAGGAGGATGAATATAGAAAGAGGAGTTACATCCTTAATTCCCAAAAGCTGCCTCTCTCTTGCAACACTCAGTCTCTTTCTCTCAACTAAGCTCGCAATCACCATGATAATGGTGTGCAACACAAGGCCAGTGCCCATTCTCTGCAGCATCGTGATCCCTCTAGGGTTCTTGGTGTAGCGCCGCATAACAGGAACAAAAAGACGGTCATAGATTACAAGGCTTATCAGCATGAAAATAGTCACAAATGCAACAAGACATGCTGGAGGGATATCAAAATGCGGGCCCATACTCCTGTCTAGTTTGGTCCCCTGTCTGACGAAAAGTGTTCCCCCTTGAGCTATCAAAGTGCTTGGAATGAACGTCGCAACTAAAATAGGAATCATCTTCATCATTTGTTTGGTTTCTTCAACTTGGGTAACTGTACAAAGCATCCATGGTGAAGTTTGGCCAGTCATCGTTGCAGCTTTGTCGAGGAATCTGCAGCAAATTTCCAATATCATTAACTTAATGATTTTCAACCTCAAAAACAGGTCTATACAGGTAAGTGGCTTACCTTAATGAAGAAGTGTGATCCATTCTGTATCTTCCTTTGCTTGCATACTCGTTCATGCTTAGCTCATGTAGGTCCTTTGGGTCTTCTGGTACGTGCACCTTCCACTTCCTTATAGAAGCCATAACGACCTGAACCATTCTGGTCAAAGGGCTGCCTGAGGGCAATTTGTGCCTATAAAAAGGAGTACCCACCAAAAACACCATCACTGAGAAAGCGAGCCCAGCTGTTGGGAACCCATAGCCAAGGGACCAACTCACGTTGTCTTGTATGTAAACTAGGAACGTGGTGGAGAAAAGGGTTCCAAAGAAGATACTGAACATCCACCAGTTAAAGAATGAAAGCTTCTGGGATTTCTCTTTTGGCTCAAAGTTATCAAATTGGTCTGCTCCCATGGTTGAGATGTTGGGCTTGGTTCCTCCTGTGCCTACTGCTATGATGTACAAGGCCAAAAAGAACATACCCACTTGCAATGACGATGCTTTTTGGCAGTCCTCTTCTTCGATGACTCCTTCTCCACATGGTGGTGGCCTCAGTGCTGGTAAGGAAACTGTTAGAGTCAACAAGCACATCCCCTGTGCAAGAAGAAGATCGATAATCATAAACAACATAATGTTTATCCAAGATTGTTGTGTTCGATTGGGAGAAAGTTAATCTCATCATCATGTTTTATATATTACCAAAAAGTAAATGACTGATGCAGATACGAAGGTCCAATATCGGCCAAAATATGCATCTGCTATGTAAGCCCCTGCAATTGGAGTCATCCATACTGCACCTACCCAGTTGGTCACATTGTTTGCAGATTTCACAGTGCCCTCATGCAGCTTTATTGTTAGATACAACACCAGGTTTGATGAAATCCCATAGTATGCCATCCTCTCAAATACTTCATACCCTGTAGTATAAATTAAACATGCATTTGATTATATACTGTATGCCTATTAAGGATGTGAGAATCATCATTTCTTGTTCACGAAATTAAAGTGATCAGTGCTAAAGATGGTATGTAAACTGGTTTGGATCTGCCGTTTAGGCTATAAAGGTTGCATTTACCTACTAAGAAGGAACAAGCTTTCCACCCTCCAGTCTTTGATCTTAATACTGGTCTGCCTTTAAGATCCACAGTACCATCTTCAGTGTAATCTTGTTTTTCTTCTACCACAGCCATTATATATGCAGGAGAGGGGAAAACAAACTTGATGAATTCTATAGTTAGAAATGTGAGGCTTTCAGCTTCTTGGTGACCTTTATATGGGTGAGAGAAGCATCTTTGCGTTTAAAAGCCACGCTATCTCGGCCCCATTTAGATGAGCTAACTAACAAAGGCACATCTGGCCATCTGCCGAACTACGCTTTGCACTTAATCTCGTCTTCTTGTACTCATCATCACGTACTTCGTTTCTTTAAATATCTGACATTTGCCTCATAAATGAACATTTCTATTAGAAGTTGGAGATGAGATTGACACGCAACTTGAGCGTCTTGATGGCCATAGTTTTCGTTGTAAAAAATCAATTGTTCTTTATTTAATGAAAGTATCATCATTACTGTCGCCATGCCCTTGTTAGCAAAGTTGAATAATGAAACTCGCTTTCGCCTTGGAACATTTGTTTTGCGTAAAAGGATTATTCGAGGGGAGGCCGGCTATGTTAGTCACAATCACGAGTCAACAGTGACCAGAAACTTCATACGTGAAACTTCACTTTACCTATGTACATTTTTATAATTTCATGCTCAACTTTACAGTCATTGACGGAATTTAATCTGCTTCGCTTAACACGGACGAAGCAAACTCCAGATGATTGAGGCAAGTGCTGGCTTATCGCAGGTTTGATGGTTGAACACTTCCCTTGCGACCCCCTTTTTGACTGGTTTTAGACTTAGAAACCACCAACAGTGAAAAAGAAGGTTGGGGAGGCTGAGTATGGCCGAGAATGCATAATAATATAAATCCAAGCCTTGCGTGCCATTTGGAGATACACCGACATGTACTAGCAACGCTTGATGAACTAAAACTGACTCAAAAAATTGTCCAGTCTTGGTGGGGAGGGAGTAATAAGACTGATCTTGTGAGCCAGAAAAAGTAATTCAAACAAAGGTGGGGCATAAGATTCTAGTAGATCCTGACCATGTAATTTAAGCTATATATTATTTTGGCGTAATGGGCCGGGCTAGCCCAAATACAATTAGAGGCAAAACTCACCCAACATCTTTCCGATGTTAATGGCAGATCCAGGGTTTAACAATCCTAAAACCTGAAGCCCACAATATTAACGGTTGCTGCCCTTTTATTCCATGCCCGCTTTCTGGTGAACTTACGCAAAGCATAAGGCAAACGTACCCCATCAGAGTGAACAGAGGGAGAAGTGTAAACAATTGGTACATTATAAAAGATACATTATATATTTGTCATTCTAAAATTCGTTTAAAAGACTATGGACACCTGTTATATATACACACACATATAAATTAGCTATATTTAAAAGGGACACAGGCGCACATATATGGTTTTTTTTTTGTTAAAATATAAGTATCTTTTTACTGGAGGCAATTCTATTCGAGATAATATCGGACAATAAATATGAGTATTTTTTTCAACAAAAATTTCATCACATTGTGAGAGAGACTAAGAGCTAATCCCGTTGTTATATATCACATGTATCAAATAAGTTCTCACAGCACATGCTTTGCCCAAAGAGGCCCATATATTTATTAATTGTTGATTTGGTGGTTAGTGGTTACAGGTTAATCTCTGACATTTGGTGGGACATTGACGTTGACATCTCAGAATCATATACAAGTGATGAGGAAGGGATGTTATCATGTTAATGGCCATTTCCTCAATTATTGAGGCGGCATTCATTAGAGGTGCGCCGTTGTAATATCATCGCATTCACAAATTTTGAGTGGGAGAGGTCAACCCAAGAAGACATCGAAAGTAATCAATCTAGCCCTAGGCATCTTTAGATTTATATTATCATTTGTTATTATAAAAATCTCGTCTGGGGTCCTTGGAGAAGTCTCAGCATTATTTTGCTTCAATTTCATATTTAATACGCATATTAGCTGGTCAAAAAATATATATTTTGACTGTATAAGTATTGAGCTAATCTTATTAATATTATCCCCTTGCTATATATATATAGCAGCTCTAGTTCGTTTGAAAAGCTATTATTTTATGCACCTTGACCGTTGACAGAAGAAAGTAAATATTTATATGAAACGTCCGTTGATCAAGATCCTTTATTATTTTTCTCCACATATTGCTGCCAATTCATTCATAATTGCATGTCGCTTTTAGTAGGATACGCATGAGATTACATTGTTTTTAATACTCTCTCCGGTTTACGAGTTACGTGCTGCAGAGCGGAACACACGCACACACATACGTATAAATCTTAAAATACCACCAATCCTTGCACATATATATAGCTGTCAACAGTGTTATATTGCCAACTTTTTAATTGTTTGGTCGAGATCAACTGCATGCATAGTCTCTCTCTCTCTCTCTCTCTCTATATATATATATAGATATTTGTGATTGTGGGGGAAAAAAAAGCACGCATTCAGTGATTTCTAATTTTTGAAAAAATTGACTTTTTGTGAGAGAGAGTTGTTTTTAATTTTTTATGCATCATCGTATTACAACTCAAATTACAAATTTGCATCGAATAAGAAGTTGATTCATGAAAATAAAATATATTAAAAATGTCGAGAGCACGTTTTTTTTTTTTTTTCTAGACAAACAACGTAACAGCTGTATTCGATGTAATCTGACTAGAGAAAATTACTTTTCATTTTCTTCTTGATAATTTTCTCACATTTAAATTGATAAAAATACAAAGCACAACGTAATTTGTTGTTTTACATGTATATCATGGAGGAAACAAAGAGAAGTTGGATTTGCCCCAAGAACTGGTGGGCATGCAGGACGTGCTAGCTTTCCAAGGATGTCATGGACGAACATTCCGTTTCCGACCTCATTTTGGTTTGTGTCAAGTCAGTATTATACACAAAGAATGTGGAAACCAATAAAAGCCAAACAAGGTTCAGAAAGCTTAGTATGGCCAAGAACGCATAATAATAATCCAAATGGGACACATTCAGATTATCCAAAACCCAGCCCTTGTGTCCTTTTCTCTGGGTGATATCAGCCACAGTGGACAGAATAAAACTACTCAGAAAATGACCAATCGCCACACTGGACGTGAGATATGCTGTTCCTAGGCTCTTCATGCTTTCTGGTGCTTGATCATAGAAGAACTCCATCTTTCCTACTTCCACAAAGGCATCAGAAACCCCCATTAATGCAAACTGAGGCAACAATATGAAAACACTTAGAGGGATTTTGTCAGATTGGCCAAAAAGATGATTTTCTCTTGCAACGCTCAGTCTCTTTCTTTCTGCTAAACTTGCAGTGGCCATCACGATGATCTGCAACACAAGACCGATGCCCAGTCTTTGAAGTAATGTGATCCCTCTGGGGTTCTTTGTGGATCTTCTGATTGCTGGGACTATTGCTCGGTCGTAGATTATAATGGTTATCAGCGAGAAGATATGTATAAATGCTGCAAGAGAAGCTGGAGGAATCTCGAAATGAGGGCCCATGCTTCTGTCTAGTTTGGTGCCTTGTCTGATAAAGAGTGTGTTCCCTTGAGATATTACAATGGTTGGTACGAGTGTTGCAGTCCAAATAGGTATCATTTTCATCATTTGCTTTGTTTCCTCAACTTGGGTCACCGGACAAAGCATCCATGGCGACGCTTGGCTTGTCTTTGTTGCAGCTTTGTCAAGGAATCTGCATGCAGCCATTTCAACGACGATCTTAAGTCATTAATACATAATAATTGAATTTGAAGCTATAGATATATTCTACCTTAATGAGGAGGTATTATCAATCCTGTGCCTCTTGTCACTTGAGTACTCTTCTATGCTTAGTTCATGTAACTCCCGCAGGTCATCTGGAACCCGTACCTTCCACTTTCTCAAAGCAGCTAGGAGCACCTGAAGTACTCTCTTTATAGGGCTATCCTTGGGCAATCTGTGCCTGTAAAATGGAGTACCTAACAGAAACAGCAATATAGCAAAAGCCAATCCAATAGTTGGAAGCCCAAAACCAAGGGACCAGCCCACGTTATCTTCCATGTAAATTAAGAAACTGCTTGCGAAGAGAGTGCTGAGGAAGACGGTGAACATCCACCAGTTAAAAAATGAAAGCTTCTGGGATTTCTCCTTCGGCTCAAAGTCGTCAAATTGGTCAGCTCCCAAGGTTGAGATGGTTGGCTTAGTTCCGCCTGTTCCTACTGCTATGATGTACAAGGCAGAAAAGAAAATACCCACTTGCAATGACGACGCTTTTTTACATTCTTCTTGTCTGACGCCTTCACCACATGTTGGTGGCCTTAGTGCTGGTAATGAAAGCGATAGCGTCAACAAGCTCATTCCCTGAATCAGCAAGTGAGAAAAATAATGGTGCTCATCAAATATAATGGTTGCATTGTTATTACGAGCCCAATAGTGCATCATCAACAACGTTAAATTTGATAACAGCTTCTTAATTACCAACAGACAAATGATTGCTGCAATCAGAAAGGTCAAATATCGTCCGAGATGGGCATCGGCTATATAAGCCCCAACTAGTGGCGTCAACCACACTGAAGCAGTCCAGTTGTTAACATTGTTTGCAGATTCGACAGTACCCTCGTGGAGTTTGGTTGTTAAGTACTGAACTAGGTTTCCCGAAATTCCAAAGTACGCCAACCTCTCAAACACTTCATACCCTGGAAATTAAACCACGTACGTACAATACGCGTATTGTTAGACAGGGAAGTCAATATAAAACTGTAGGCTGACATGTTTACCTATGATGAAAGAGCAAGCTTTCCATCTTCCAGTGTTTGACCTTAAAACTGGTCTGCCTTTCCGATCAACTGTTCCATCTTCAGTGTAGCCGTCTCTCACGCTTTCACGACTCTTTTCTTCTGCCATAGCCATTATGCTGCTGGAGTATGGAGAGAGGAACGCCAACTTCAATTCATTTCGGGCTCCGTGAAAGGAAGCAGCTTTCTATTTATAAGCATAGATTAGATTTCAGATCATAGTTCGTACCCATGTTCTTATTCAGTTATATATATGCAACTTGGTAGGTTGCTGACTTGGTCATCGTAC